GGCAACCAGTGCTGTGATACCCACATTGGCAACCAGTGTTGTGATGCCAACATTTCCAATTAGTGTTATGATGCTCACATTTCCAATTAGTGTTTTGATGCAAACATCGGCAAGCAGTGTTGTGATGCAAACATTGCCAAGCAGTGTTGTGATGCAAACATCGTCAAGCAGTATGGTGATGCAAACATTGCCAAGCAGTGTTGTGATGCCAACATTGCCAAGCAGTGCTGTGATGCTCACATTTCCAATTAGTATTGTGATGCCAACATTGTCAATCAGTGTTGTGATGCCAACATCGCAAATCAGTGTTTTGATGCTCACATTTCCAATCAGTGTTGTGATGCCCACATTGCCAACCAGTGTTGTGATGCCAACATTGCCAAGCAGTGTTGTGATGCACACATTTCCAATTAGTTGTGTGATGCAAACATTGCCAATCAGTGTTGTGATGGCAACATTTCCATTCAGTGTTGTGATGCCAACATTGCCAAGCAGTGTTGTGATGCAAACATTTCCAATAATAGTTGTGATGCCAACATTGCCAATCAGTGTTGTGATGGCAACATCTTCAATCAGTGTTGTGATGCCAACATTGCCAACCAGTGTTGTGATGCCCACATTGCAAATCAGTGTTTTGATGCTCACATTTCCAATTAGTGTTGTGATGCCAACATTGCCAAGCAGTGTTGTGATGCTCACATTTCCAATTAGTGTTGTGATGCCAAAATTCCCAATCAGTGTTTTGATGCTCACATTTCCAATCAGTGTTGTGATGCAAACATTTCCAATAATAGTTGTGATGCCAACATTGCCAATCAGTGTTGTGATGGCAACATCTTCAATCAGTGTTGTGATGCCAACATTGCCAACCAGTGTTGTGATGCCCACATTGCAAATCAGTGTTTTGATGCTCACATTTCCAATTAGTGTTGTGATGCCAACATTGCCAAGCAGTGTTGTGATGCTCACATTTCCAATTAGTGTTGTGATGCCAAAATTCCCAATCAGTGTTTTGATGCTCACATTTCCAATCAGTGTTGTGATGCCCACATTGCCAACCATTGTTGTGATGCCAACATTGCCAATCAGTGTTTTGATGCTCACATTTCCAATCAGTGTTGTGATGCCCACATTGCCAACCAGTGTTGTGATGCCAACATTGACAATCAGTGTTTTGATACTCACATTGCCAACCAGTGTTGCGATGCCCACATTGTCAACCAGTGTTTGATGCCCACATTGCCAACCAGTGTTGTGATGCCAACATTGCCAATCAGTGCTTTGATGCTCAGATTTTCAATTAGTGCTGTGATGCCAACATTGGCAACCAGTGTTGTGATGCCCACATAGGCAACCAGTGTTGTGATGCCAACATTTCCAATTAGTGTTGTGATGCTCACATTTCCAATTAGTGTTTTGATGCAAACATTGGCAAGCAGTGTTGTGATGCAAACATTGCCAAGCAGTGTTGTGATGCAAACATTGTCAAGCAGTATGGTGATTCAAACATTGCCAAGCAGTGTTGTGATGCCAACATTGCCAAGCAGTGTTTTGATGCTCAGATTTTCAATTAGTGCTGTGATGCCAACATTGGCAACCAGTG